TTCAAAAACATTACATAACGAAGTCACCTTAAAAAGTCTCAAATATACTGCATTCGATAGAGAACTTCGAGAGCTATCAGAATCACTATTTACATTTGATCCAGCTATTCGTTTTCATAGAGACAAAACAATGACAAAGGGGGGGCTATAATTTTGATATACCCTGTATTTATTCTTTGAAAGAAAATCATAATTTTGAGTTTGATAAAAAAATCATCATTGATACTTGAATTATGCAATGCATACTATATCTTTATTTAGAAAACACAGTTCAAGTAATCAAATGATGCATATTTCAGAGGAAAACTCTTCAATTTCATTGACGAATAGAACTAGCAAAACATAAGTACGAATATACTTCTCAGATTTCATTACAAAAAAATTCATTTTCTAAATACAGTGGTACCAATGATATCTCGCTATAAAGTGGAGGCTATACCTGATTGGATTTATTTCGGACCCGACCAATTCTAGTGAACTTAAAAAGTTAAGAAACAACATAGTTTTGACTTTTTCATTAATGGTAACAGTTAAAACAAATCAGAGGAACAAATTTATTAGCTGAGACAATTTCTTATCAGGATAAGTACCTGTGAAATTCCTATTCAAAGAAAGTCAAGACTCGAAAAATGAGCCTTCTCAATTCTAGCATAAATGTCTAGCGAACGAGTCCAAATAACAGAGAAAATTTCTGAATGAAATAAAATGTCTACAACCCACTTTTGGCGAACGACAACGATTATGTGATAGGCGTAATAGGTTGATTTACATGAATCTACAATGTTTCATACAGTGGTTTCTATTATAAAATAAGTATAGTTCCCTGAAGATAGATTATGGAGAGCTCGGAGACATCTTGCTTTGTTCAAAAATATTTTTCCTATTAAATGAATTTGTTCCAATACCTTGTTTGATCGCATTCGGAAAACTGATTTCAAAAGTCTTGGCTTTCAAAAAACTCTTTATCTCAACCTTTTACTTGGACTTGGAAAGTGTCACTCCCGATATAACATTCTGTGCCATTTGTTCTAGCTATTATTGTTAAGGAAAAGAGTAAAAAGTATCTCGTGTGTAAATCTTTTTGCACTAGCTTTAGATAAATTTCAAATAACTAACCTCGTTTTAAGAACGAGGAATAGCGTTGACTAATCACAGAATAAACTTCTTGTAATTTTCTATCCTGTCGAATTAATCGGATTGGTTAATGCAAAATAAACTACTATAATTATCTAACGTAAAAATAACATACCTAAATTCTCCTGGCGAATGAACACCTGTTAAAATTCTATTCAATGCATTTGCATTAGTCATTTTCGAACACGAAATCTGTGCATAATTAATAAAAAACATTTGTTCTGCTGAATAATCAGAGAGACCAGGTAATTTTTTATCCATGTTTGGATGTGTTCGAGCCCAGTTTTGATAAGCCTATAAATACATTCAACAAGGATAATAAGGATGCATAAAATAACAAACAAGTGAAACATATAATACGCAAATAAAAGCTATTTAAAAACAATTTTTCTGTCGAAAATCATCGATCAGATGATCATGTGAGTGTGTTTTCAATCAATCGTGTAATATAGCCTAGATAATCATTATATTGTCAATAAAAACGAAGTCGAGCATTTTATGTAAAGCAAAGTTGTTCATTTGAATAGTTTGCTAATCCAGGTAAACTTTTATCATTTTTTTGTTAATGATACTTTTTTATATACCTATAGAAAAATAATTTCTGTCTCAAGATTAGATCATTTTTCTTATTTTTGCTTTACTTTTTGTTTTTCTAAATCAATTCAAATAAAACCTACATAATATGATTCTTTTATCCCACCATTATCAGCTATATTTTCGCCTTGTGTTTGCAATCCATTTAACTAAAATTTAGAAAAAAAAATACCAAAATGTGAAAACGTTTTTTAAATCATTACTGTCATGTTGATTTGAGTTATAACATATTTACTATATTGATCGATTATACACTGTTTGTGCGCATTAAAACTTTCGATAGTATCAGGAGACCACCATGAAATACGATTTCCATCTTTATCATACTGACGACCACTATCATCAAAACCATGAGTAATTTCATGAGCGATGACCATTCCAATGGCTTGAATTTTATTTGATATTCTACAACATTTATTTATTTAATTGAAACTTACCACCGTAATTTAAATATCTAAAAAAGAATGAGGAATTCTAATTGTTTTTTGTCAAAAGAGATATGAAAGACACTTACTTCGGTGCATCTTTATTAAAAAATGGCATCTGAAGAATGCCAGCTGGAAAGACTAAAGACAAAGAAAAATATATACATATATACCTTAGTCAAGAAATATAGTCTATTTCTGGTCAGAGAATGGTAGAAGTTCAGCGTCGCACTCTGTTCGGAACCAGAAAAATCCGACCATTGAATCCAATCGTAAGATTTCGAATTCCGAGTTCCTACTATTTTTCTGAGTTTTTCGACCAGAAATATTGTTTTCCTGGCCGTCGAAATCATTCACCCGGATATACATAATAGTCACACAAGCTAATAGTAGAAAAACTTCATGAAAACCACTGATGCTAATTACTGTAACAAAAACCTCCTAAAATACACATTTATTTATATATAAGTACTATTCATATACAATTATCCGAAAAAGTGACACAAAAATTCTTTGAAAATATGGATGATGCGGACTATGAAGTTATAGATGTGCACGTAGAGACGGCCTACACAAACATATTATTCGCGAGCAAATGGGGGCTCAGTGAACGACAATCTTAAGGAGTAGGGATGTGCAGGGAAAACTTTTCTTTTGTACGCTGACTGAGAAAAACTTTCTAATCTCTACTGCTCTCTATTTTTCAGCGCAGAGTAATCCTGTATGTTCTTACTAGCGGACTAGTATCCTGAACTCTGTAAATAACATCTGATATCTAGATTGTTGATTGATCTTTTATTTTATTTATTATGTTATATAAATGATTGCCTGATTCTCATAATATTCTGATTAATAGTTATATTACCGCCAACTTTCTAACCTTGATATGTCGTCTTGGACTAATACATTAAATACATGGTGTATAAAATTAAGGAACTGTTTTATCTGACTTATTAATAGTGTATTCTGTTTTCATTTGAAAAACTATATAAATAAAAAACAGGTTCATAGCTTGTCATTAGTCAACCAGACCTAAGACAAATCGACCTGTTTGAATCTCTATCATGAATATTCAAATTAAAACAATTGTACAAAAAAAGAATTCTATTTACTGATTTGGTTTCTTGGTGGACTATAAAAAGCGTTGACTATAGTCGGTGGACTAGCACCCCATGCTTTACGATCAACAGGTTCGCGAAGCATTCGATGATTTTCATTGGATTTTATTTTTAATAATTTTAAAACATTATATATATATGAATCATTGAAAGCATACTAAAAAAAAAACTGCAGGATAAATCGTATTTGGTCGAAACTATAATTATTTCTTACATCTTGATACATTTTTTCGAGCTCTGTCGTATCATTATTGCCTAAAAAATCTGGATAACCAATTTTTTCATCGATTACTAACGCCTTTAAAATATAATTAAAGTTATGAAGCATTTTATTTTTCAAGTTACTTTTTCTATTGATTTATTTTTTGAAGTTTCATCCATCCAACTCGAATTTTTGAGCATATCAAGAAATGCAGTTCGAATATTATTGATCATTTCTAATGACTAAAATAAAAACCAACAATCAATTAAATTAGTTCTGTATTGGCAACATTATTTGTGTTAATTTCAAAAACAATTTGATTTTGTTGAAAGTTTTCTATTGAAAAGTCATGAATATTATTTCTCCTTAGACAAATGGTTACAATTATTAAAGTTCAAGAAGTAAGAATAATAGATAACGTCCACTGTTCGAGCTCATATTTAAGCAACAAGTAGCTATTAGTGAGAGTACCAAAGGTCTAAAAGGGTTTATCCCTATAAGCCTTCGGCATCGGGTTACAATCGCGTTTTGCGAGATTTTTTTTACCGATTCTAAGGTACTTCTCGAGAAGTTAAAAAACGAAGCTTCAAGTCAAAATTTAACTAAAAGATAAATTTAATGATTCTTTGGATATCATGAAAGTTTCATCGGGAAAGTATGTTCCATTGTCTTGTTATCAAATTTCTAAGAAGACTCAACTTTTGTTGTCTATCTTGATAATGGTCTATGTTTGAAAATTTAAAATCTTGACGACGACGAATTCTTCTCGATTGAAACTCTAACAGTAATTGGGCTTATCTATAGACCAAACTTTAGATTGAAACTTCTTGAATTTATTTTCTCGGAAACTAACTACAAATGAGTCGAAAATCCTATAAATCGGTTATAACTCAATGTCCAGAGTTCATTGGGACGAACGCTTATTAGCTTTTACTAGTCCCATCAAGACTTTGTTTTAAATGTAATATGTACTTAAATAGAAAATGTCACTTAGACAAATTTTATTGTTATCGTACATTTTTCAAAATCTAAATTTTGTATTATACTTACTTGTACTAACAATACGTATTTAACAAGAAAATATAAGTTATTCATGACTATATTTTGAACATAGTATGATATCTAGATGTCAGCCACCATAGTTGAGTGACTATGTCATGCTGAAGAATGTACCACTAGGTACTGCACTATATCAAAGTAACAGATACGAGTGTTCTTTTCTTTACCATAACCTTTTGAAATGAAAACGAAGAAATCGCTGATTCTACTTTGCTTTTTCCTTCATACAATATTATAAAAAAGATATATATTAAATAATCAATTAATCTGTTCGCAAATAAAATAAACTAATCCAAACTATAGCTATATTTATTTTATTCTTAAAGAGTTATATACAATACCTGATTTCTCGCATTTTCATCAAAATATTGTTTAATATAAATTTTTGAAAGAGCAAAACCCATATTATTATTAATATAATTTCCACATGTTATTGAACGTGGACGTTGAGCAACAGTACCTCGAAAAGCTTCATCAAATGAATCTCTTAGAGCCCGATAACGTTTAGGCATATTTGATATTCTGCTCATTATAAAACGCCATACAATATAATTTTGTAGTACACGTGGTGAAGTTGAATCAATGATCGATGATGCATTGCGTAAAAACTCTAATTCACTAACTGATACAACATCATTATCATTTAAAGGAACATTTGATAAAAAATATATATGTCGAAGATAATTTGTAAATCCAAACTAAATTCAAGAAAAAAATAAAAAATATTTTTATAAACAAATGAAAATGAATACTTGCACTTGTATTAAATGTTTGTGAAAGATTTCCAATTGTTGTACGAACTCTTTCATTTTGTCTAGCACGTTGTTCGGCAGGTGTCCAATGAAACTAAAGATTTTTATTTATTTAATTTGTAAAGGAAAAAAATAGCAAACATCTTTATTTACTGTTGCAATACGTTTTTCAAAATTATAAATATCGTCAACTTCACTGACATTTATTACCATATTATTGGTTAGCACTGAAGCTACATCATGAATAAACTGCCGGTAAGTCTTAGTAACTTTTGTTTCGTTAAGATAATTTGATCGCTGTGCAAGTACAATATCACTTTGGTAAACCTATGTGCAACAAAAAACAAAATATACAAATTGAATTTTTACTATCTTGGTTATTCACTCGAATAAAGTTAACTGAAGAATTTATATCATCAGCTGATGTACTAAAACCAAATATCATATTTTGATTATATTCACGTAGTTTAATGAATAAACGTGTAAGATTATACGATGTTTCATTCCATGGTGAACCTTGTAAAATAGGCCATCCACCAAGCTCATTATGGACGAAAGACAATATTACATTAATAGCCTCTAAGTCTATAGCTGTTTCATTTATGCATGTGTCATACAAACGACGAGCATTCATTATAGATTGAAGACTTTTGAAGTCATCGAGAATTGGTGCAGTTAACATATCTAAACATACATATTGAAAGGCGTGATTTAATACTAGAATTGATCCAATGGGTTTATTAGATTTATTCTCAAACAAGAAGTTATTGGATTTATCAAGAGAAATCACTCAGAATTGTAACAAATAAAGTGGAAGTAATAGTTTTAGAAACGCATACAAATCAAAGAAAATATTTGTGCATTGGAAATAATTTTCGATTGGAATAAGTATTTATCAAGTCTCATTAACAGATTTTTATAAAAATTTTCTAAAATCAAGACTTCCAAAAACCAATTTTCTGGATTATATCAAAAATCTTTTGCAAACAAGTTCACATAATAGAGAAAACATTCTTGGAACAAAGCAAAATGTCTTCTAGCTCTCTATAGCCTCTCTTCAAGAAACTACACTCATTTTGCACAAGAACCTCAACTGTAAAACATAATGAATTCAAATAAATCAATTTTGTAGGTCCTATCGTACAATCCATTCAACAAAGATATATAATGGACTTCTTACATCGTTCAGAAATCTTTTCTCTAATATCCAAAGTCATTTTCAAAGTGTATTCGATCAAAATTTAGAAAACTGCTATAGTTTTAGAACTCTTGATTTTTAATCTATCATTTCTGTTCGATCATTGAATAAATATCATATATTATCAAATTTTCAAACATATTATATACGTCAAACGTTGATCTAGCATCATGTTTACTATTTTTCGAGGAGAAAAGTCAGATAAATGGATAAAAATTGATTATTTAGAAATTTAATTGATTTTAATCATCATTTTCAATGGAAATGTGATTAAAATAGTGTCATTATAATCGGTTTCTAACGACAAAATAAACTGATGAAAATCAAATTTTCTGACTTTTTACACGGAAACATATCTACCAAAAATGCAAATAGGATCAGCGATAATCTGACTGCGGTTTCATTAAATGTTATCATAACATATTTTTGAAAATATTAATTAAAGCATACGATTAGGCATGGACGACATGATTCGACTCATCACTAAATACAATACATTTTTATAGCTTCTTATTACTATTGAAGGTCATATCCTTAAAACTCTGTAGTTATATTATTATTCTCAAGTTGCAATAGCCTATTTCATATTGTACAGAGAATACTAAATCATAATCTGTTTCAAAACTGTTCGAATCACCGCTATGATAAATATCAGCAGTTAGACTATGTTAGCAAAAAATGAAGTCGAAGAAACTGCATCATTTTTTACACTTCAACTTGATCCGATAAACTGCTACTCAGACACATTCATAGATCGGATTCACGAGTAGAACTCTATTTCAAAATCGTATCTATTGAATAGTCTTATTAAAAATCCTTGAAATCTATTAGAAAAAAGTCTTCGTGAATGACAAGCATACGATTATTTTTCTTAACTAAAGAAAGATGAAATTCGATTATAATCATTCTTATGCTATTGTCATTTATATAAATTTTATTCAGTGACGTAACTCCAAGGGTCACAACGTGGCTAAATCCGAGAATGGATGTTGAACGGAAAATTCTCAAGAAAAGGTAACTTGCTACATCCTTGATTTCATCATGAACCTAATTGAATGCTTAAAATTAGTCGGTTATATGCATTTACCAACAATATCACTATCTAATTGATTTTGCAGAATGTTAATAGTATCATGAGATTCAGCTAAAACAAACAGAATTCATATCTATATATTGAAAAATATGAAAATACAATTAAAAATTTACCATCATCCGGTATTCGATTCTTCTTTAACCATGTTCCACAAGCAAATTCAAAGAAATTGTCACATGGATTAACAGTTTTATCAATACTTTCAAGTAAATAATTCGCTATTAAATTCCAGAAATAAAATTATCCAACTAATTCATTGAAATAGAACTAACCCGCTTTAATACAATATGAAGTTACACATAAATCTATTTGGGCCAGAAGCAATTAACAGATCATATAGATAAATATAGTAATATTTCATACCCGTGGCTGTTGTTGTGTCTATTGTAGTCGAGTTTTTATTCCTTTGAACTCCATATAAAGCGGCAAATACAATGGTTAATATAAGAAATATACCCAGAAAACCAGCTAATACAAATGTTATCCTTCTATATTTTAGTTAAACAACAAATAAAAGAACAATTCGTATTAAATCATATAAATAATTAGTTATTTTGACAGAAATTTTCTATTGACGAAAATAGAGCATTCACGCATTCGGATAATGATTTTGCACTTGGAAAAATCATAATTACGCTTTTTTCGACCATAGGAAAAGAAAGCACCTTAATTAAGAACATTTTCAGGGTAATTCAAGCAAAATAGAACTATGAAGAGAAAAGCGGAGGATACGGTGAGAATATTTATTTACGGTTGTTTTTGTAACAAAACGTCAATTACGAAAAACATTAAACATTTACAAACCTTCCGTCTGTCATAATCGTTCTCATAAAATAAAAACTCAGTACAAAAAAATACCTGCGATTTTATAAGTACAAAACATCGTAGAAGAAGAAAATATAATTCTTTTTTTTTATGTTTATGACTTTTAATGATAAAATACGTTCCCCTGGTCGATTAGATGCATTAAAGGCCGAAACAAAAAAATGTTGCAAAAGAAATGTCGAAGCAGCTTTGGACTAAGGAAAAAATATGGAAAATTTCAAGACGTTGTCAAGCAATATTGATGTGCTTTGTTTTCATATTGCCTATTAAAGCTCCATTGATAATTAGCTAATACGTTTCTCTTATACATCATTGTAGAAATGAAGATTCTCATAACAGAGAAAATATATTCGAACAAAAAAAATTATCATTGCATTGTCTTCATGCTCTTCTATATATTTCACTTGATTTTAGGTACTGAAACATATTATTACATGTTTACCCCTTAACACTTTGCGGATGTGGATATTGATGTTTCCTTCAGTAAAGTCCCATGCACTCACATCCTCCTTGTTGAATAAAAATTTGTATCCATTTGATACACTGTATTAATATTCATTCTTTTAATATTTTGTTTTCATCGTTTATTCTTCAAATCTGTTTTCATTTCGGTTTGTTTTTTGCATCGACAATTCTTTCTTTGGTCTTTTTTATAACACATTCCTTGATCATATAAATCAAAATATACATCATAAAATAAAACAATACTATATAATCTGAAATTTCCAGAGAATTATTGGAGGCTCCTTGAGAAATCTTGAGAGAGTGCCCAAATTTCAGAGAGTATAGGAAAAAAGAGAAAACTCTCTTGGAACTCCCTGGGACAGTTTTGAGGAAATACAGGAATGTAGTTTTTATTTATATTTATGGAAACAATAGATTTAAAGGTAAGTATCTATTTATAAAATTAAATAATATGCTGTGTTTATTCAGATTTGTCCCGACCACAGATTCAATTGTAAGTATTTATTTTTAAAAAACCAATTAATTGTTTTATTTAGATTTATGACAATAAAATATTCAAAGTATCTATTAATTTGAATAAATTTTATTTTATTTAGATTAATCTGAAAAAAGAAGTTAAACTCTGGTCAATTTCCTTGAAAAATTCCGAGAAATCCCAACAGGGACTTTTGTAGAATTTGTTAGGAACTCCTCAGTGAGTCCCCAAGAAAAGTATACTAGCGTGTGATTATCAAGAACAATTATTATTCATCATGAAAAAAAGGAGCATTTGTGGGTACAAGAGTGAAGTTATTGTCAAATCATTTGTAATCCAGACAACAAATATTGTTATTCGACTTGTCATGGCGAACTGCTTGTGTCCAGACGGTTTGAAGAATCACTCCGGGTCAAATAACTCAAAGCAATAATTATCAGAGCGCTTGTATAACTCTTAAATAGAGCATGTTATCAAAATCAGTCTTTCATAAATCAAAAGATAACAATCTTTGCTACCTATAAGTCACATTGAAAATCAAGGTTAACTGACAAATGGATTCAGAATATTGTTTTTAAAATGTTCAGCAAGAATTAATATGATTGGCTCCGTGATGTCGAATAAAATTTTATCAGACACGTTCCCTCGAGATCTCTTTTTAATGATAAAAGTCACAGCTCTCTGTTTCATTTCTATTAAAAAATATTCAAAGTCTATACACGGTGTTTTGTTTTTAGCGATGATTGCATATAATGCTAGAATATTCCTTGAATGACAGATACCGTATATGACAAACTGAAAAAAATGAATTTACTTTAACATAAGTTGAAACTTGCGAGCTTGAATCTCGTGTTTTGGCTTTCAGATCAAGACAGCCAATTTCTCATCGAGATTGACATGATAGTAAAAACGATTGAAACTTAAAGAGTAATTTTATAGTTGACTTCAACTTTTAAGATTCACATTATTGGTATATATCATGGTCAAATATTGCCCATAACTTCGATTATCGAAGTAAATATCATCGTATTGAGATATTTCCAATACCTGCATGCTCAAAGTGTAGATTGTTGAATTTCAATGATATGATTCTTTTTTGACTGAGTGCAAACTAACTATATCTCTTCATATGACATTCAAATAATAGACTGATCATTGTCGATTTTCGAAATTATCAGAGGTGATCTATCTTTTTGTTGCAATGATCATAGTTTAGTAACATTCAATGTGTGTTCTTTTCTGTATTGATTTCGACACTAATCTGTAAGTGAATAGTTGCATTTTCTTTTATTGCTGTACTATAAAACAATAATACAGAAAGTATTTGATTAGATATATGAAGGGTCTCCTTACGAAAAAGTCAATTTTTATGCGATCTATGGATGTTTTGATTTATAACTCGTTATAAATAGAATCGTGAGCTTGCTTTTCGAATGCACTACAGTTTAGTGGTTATACGATAGGAGTCAAAGGATGTACATAGAGTTTTCTATGTTTTCATAGTGAAGAAAATAGGGTTGGCCGTAGAAACGCCGAAAGAAAAAATATAGAAAGGAAAAATGTCGAAAAATAAGTACAGAGGGGAAAAATGTCGAAAGAAAAAATATAGAAAGGAAAAATGTCGAAATTGGGCTAATATCGAAGAATGTTGTCGTCTGTAAGCGCTGACTTTAATTCCCTACAATTTATCATTGGTATTCTCAGTCTTATATTGGTCTAGCACTATAAACAATAGTAACAATGAAGAGGAATGGATGGAAAAAGGAAGAAAGGAAAAATATCGAAGAAAAATATCGAAAATAAAATATCGAATGGAAAAAAATCGAAAGCGAAAATGTCGAATAGAAAATATCGAAAGGGAAAAATATTGAAAGTTAAAACATCTGAATAAGAAATAATGTTTATGAAATTTTTTCAAAATTGCACAAAGTAAATGAAATGTAAATATAAATTATAACAAACATTCAGTGAGCATGTCACTTTACAGAGTATAATGATTGGTCATTTTCTCTTTAATTTA